CCAAAAGTGTTGTTTCCCTATATAAACTATAGTAAACTTTACCCCCTCCCCAAGGGAGAACGGATAGCTCGGGGGTCCTGAAATTTACAATTTAAATAAAGCCCCTGATGATCTTTCCATCCATGCAGAGAAAATGACTGTAATACCTCTGAGTCTGGAGAAGAAGATTTTTGAAATATTGGTTAATTTTCCCTTTTGAGCCCCGCCCTGGCCCCTAGGGTTGGGGTAGGAATCCCAATTTTACAATTTGATAGCCTCATCTACCAAGGATGATTCTGACCAAGTTTGAAAAAATTCCATCCACTGGTTCTGGAGAAAAAGTTGATAATGTAAAAAGTTTAGGCACGACGCACGGAAAGTGATTGGAATAGGTCACTTGAGCAAATCCTGAAAACATCTATAGCTATGTTATTTGCGCACCCCCAACTTCAAACTTAATTTTAACACAAACAAGAGGCCCAGATGGCCTGTATCGCTCACCTGAATATGTTTAAAATAATTGGTATGAAGTAAAGATATAGCACTCCATGGTAGGGGCTGTAAGTACATATGAAATTTCAGAAAGATCCATCCAGTACTTGAGATATAGCGAGTACAAACTCCAAACAGAGCCCCACCCCTATGCCCCTAGGGGGTCATACCCACCGTTTATACAAAATTGAGTCCCATAATGGCCCAAGGATGCTTCAGACTAAATTAGGACAAAATCCTTTAACCCCTATGGTAGAAGAAGGATTTTAAAGGTTTTACCTCTATTTTCCCTATTGGGCCCCGCCTCTCTGCCTCCAGGGGTGTCAGACACACCGTTATACAAAATTGGTTCCCTTTTACCCAAGGATACTCCATACCAAATTTGGACAAAATCCTGTCATTACTACAGAAGAAGGATTTTGAAGAATTTGCTATGTTTCCCCTATTGGGCCACTCCCTTCTGCCCCCAGGGGGGGGGGGAGGGGCACACTCGCTGTTTATACGAAATTGAGTCCCTTTTGCACAAGGGTGCTCCAGACCCTTAAAATCCTTTAAACCCCTATGGTAGAAGAAGGATTATAAAGGTTTTACCTCTATTTCCCCTATTGGGGCCCCACCCCTCAGGTCCCAGGGGGGGCCACACCCAGCTTTTTTATACAAAATTGGTTCCCCTTTCCCTAAGGATGCTTCACACCAAATATGGACCAAATCCTTTCATTCCTACAGAAGCAGAAGGATTTTAAAGAATAATTTGCTATGTTTCCCTTATGGGGCCCCGCCCTCAGGCCCCTGTCGGGCCAGACCCACGGTTTATACAAAATTGGTTCCCCTTCACCCAAGGATGCTTCAGACCAAATATGGAACAAATCCTTTCATTCCTACAGAAGAAAGATTTTAAAGAATATGCTATATTTCCCCTTTTGGGTCCCGCCCCTCAGCCCCCAGGGGGGGCCACACCAACCGACTAGTACAGCGTACGCGTTTTAAAGGAAAAGTTGACGGACGTCGGACGCTGCGGTATGGCATAAGCGCACCATGGTCCTTCGAATTTGGACCAGGTGAGCTAAAACAAGAGGCCCAGAGGGCCTGTATATTGCTCACCTGAATATGTTTAAAATAATTAGTATGAAGTAAAGATATAGCACTCCATGGTAGGTGCTGTAAGTACATAATAAAATTTCAGAAAGATCCATCCAGTACTATAGCGAGAACAAACTTCAAACAGAGCTCCACCAGGTGAGCAAAAAACTGTGTATTACACGTGCACGGTATCCATTTACTACTTTTAAATTTGAAAAGTAATAATTAATGCTATCCGAAAAGTATAAATTACAGACAGATCAGTATCATTTTATTCATAACTAATTTTAAACACAAATCTCATAATTATTTTACATTATATTGTTTTGCATCACGCCATTGACCTCCCAGTAGTTAAAAAGAAATTGTTTTGAATGTAAAACTGGAGCCAGCTGATTATCTATAATTACCCAGTTCTTTCCTTGCTTATCATCAGCATCAGGTACACATACAGATAAACACAGGTACAAAGAAGGACCTCCATCCTCGTCAGAACACCCCATACACTACCAAATGTACAGCACACATACACGCTACCCATACAGGGTGTAACATAGCTGGGATTTGTAAGGAAAGGTCATTGACAGCCTCTTGATAATCCAACAATACTACAGAATATCACACAACGACTAACTCTAGGGTTACAGTTTCAATAAGATGACCAGTGGTCAAGAGGGAAGTTACCGGTATATACACATGGCCATATCCTTAACACACATTGTAAACAAAGTATAGGAAGTAATATAATTATCCTATCTGTTGGCCATTGACACCATGTCCAGTACGTACCTGTATACCGGTATATTACCCGATTCTGATGGCAAGACACACTGTCCAATATACCTGTATATATTACCTGGTGGCTGGCCATGGACACACTGTCCAATACCTGTATATTTGTTTATTACCTAACTTAACTGCATGTCAACATTACATGTAATACAAACGCTAATGTGACACTGTCTGAAATATTGTCTAAATAGGCACTTATATATATATAATTACTTAATCACAGGTTTGCCAATATCTTTACACTAGCTTTAGTGAAGTGATTTGATACATTTAGTAGAGTCAACCAGTAAGTATGAGGTATAGTGAAATTTTACGCTCAAGTGTAGTATTGGGGCTCAGAACCTTGCGACGAAGCTCAGTTTTGACCCAAATTCTAAACCCTTATGTTCAATTTTCCTTACCCACATGCCGTAGTATTGGAGCTCAGAACCTTGCGGCAAAGAACAGTTTTGACCCTAATTCTAAACCCTCATGTACAATTTTCCTTACCCACATGCCTACATACTGACTGACTCATTTTGTCTCACCTCTTACCTGGGAATTTAGTAACAAGAGATCACAGAGGGACTTGTGTTTTGTGCTGTTTGACTTTCATGCCTACGCACCAGGAAAGACGAGATAGAAACATTCCAGCCTGAAGTTGTCATTGCCTTACCTTGCTGTGACAGCCGACAGATCTGCTTTTGGCTTGGTTACGCCAGGAGCAGCAGCTTTGAGATGGACAGGTAGGGCTGCCTGATCATTAAGTTTGGGGACAGCAGTAGGGATTCTGTTTGACAATGCTGTCTGTGAAGCACTAACAGCCTTTGAGTCTTGTGCCTTGCCCAAAGATGCAGCAGGAAGTATTGTATTAGAATTGGTTATTCGTGACTGATCAGTTAGGACCTGTATTCCATCTTTTGACATAGAAGATGGTGGCTTTATGTTTGGTGTAGCCCTCCAGTCTCCAGATGCTGAGGCCACAATGTTATCATTAGAACTACCAGGTAATGTATTTGATGATGTGTTTCCTGTTGACGGTATCTTTGCTGCTGATGGTATTTTTGCTGTTGATGGTATATTTGATGTTAATGGTATATTTGCTGTCACAGACAACTTGGCTGTTGTTGGTACTTCTGCCTTTGAAGTAGAATAAGCAGACTGCTGTCTTCTCAACATGGATGGTGGCCTACTCAAGGATGAATCATGTGGTCCCTCTGACACCCTCTGAACACTAGAACTGTTGTGTTGTGTCACTGTTGGTGTTGGTACCAACGACTTGTTGATGGTTGGATTCTGTGGTGTTTTTGATGTGACAAGTAGTCTATTACAATTTGTAAATTGCGCCACAGTTGATTTTGATGCCAGTGGTCTGCTAACCAATAAATGATTTGGTGCATTTGATGTGACATGTGTTTTTTTACAATCTGTAGATTGTATTAAAGAGGTTATTGATTCCAGTGACTTACTGATGGTAGAACTCTGTGGTACTTGAGACACAGCCTGATATTTGCTATTGATGGTTGAAGTCTGTGGTACTTGAGACACAGCCTGATATTTGCTATTGATGGTTGAACTCTGTGGTACTTGAGACACAGTCTGATATTTGCTATTGATGGTTGAATTCTGTGGTACTTGAGACACAGTCTGATGCTTGCTACTGATGGTTGAAGTCTGTGGTACTTGAGACACAGTCTGATGCTTGCTATTGATGGTTGAAGTCTTTGGTACTTGAGATACAGTCTGATACTTGCTACTGATGGTTGAATTATGTGGTACTTGAGACACAGTCTGATGCTTGCTATTGATGGTTGAAGTCTTTGGTAATTGAGACACAGTCTGATACTTGCTATTGATGGTTGAATTATGTGGTACTTGAGACACAGTCTGATGCTTGCTATTGATGGTTGAAGTCTTTGGTACTTGAGACACAGTCTGATACTTGCTATTGATGGTTGAATTCTGTGATACTTGAGACACAGTCTGATGCTTGCTTGAATTTGAAGATTGTGTTGAGTTTGTACTTGATGTTGTCTGTAGCCATGGCCATTTGTTTGAAATTTCACTCTGTGGTCCACTGGAACCCTGTAATTTATTTGAAGTAAGAGGATGAGGTGAATTTGAGGTTGCCACAGGTTCTGGAATCCATGGACATTTGCTTGAAGTTTTCTGAGGTGATTTTGAAGGGATAAGTACCTGGTTTGCATTTGAAGATCTCTGCGACTGATCATGAAGCCATGGCCTGTTACTGTAATCAGCTTTCTGTGATCCGTTTGTTGTGGAATGTAAAACTTCCTTTCCATTTAGAGATTTTAGCACATTTAAATTTGAAGTTTCAGCTGACAACCCATTGTTCTGTGATGCTCTTGTCAGTGTGTCGAGTGCCGGAAGTCTATTTGAAACACTGCTCTGTTGTTTGTCTGATGTTGAAGTAAGAGGGGTCTTTGAAGTTGCTGTGGTGGCTGGTAACCGGTCCCCTGGTAGGATGAGGGATTTTTTAAACTTTATCTGTTTTGGTGTTGTGTCTTGCGATGTGCCTGAGGTCAGTGGTACAACACTGTTAGTTGTTAATGTGTCATGTGGCACGTTTGATGTACCTGCAGTTAGTGGTTCTGTAGCATTTTTACCTGGGTTGAAAACAGAAGGACGAATAACTTGGGCAGGACTGGAGTGAAACGAGTCTGGATTGAATCTGTACTTGTGTGAGTTGGAAATAGGCAATTTCTCTTTCAGTGGAGATCCAGGCAGCTTTAGCTTGGCAGGAGAAAGTATCCCAGAGACAGCTGATTTAGGCTTCTGGTCAATTTTAGCCACACAAACATCAGCACTTTTGCTTTTAGTCTGGAAAACAGTTTGAGAGTCACATGTTATATCGCTTATTTGTGATTTAGGTCCTGCTTCATTTGTCCTTGCTTTCGTTGGTGAAGTGAAGAGGGACTGAATTTGGTTTTGTCGCCATTGCTGCACCACAGCTGTGTGACCTGCGTCCAGTATAGAGGTACTGGTATTTGCCCTGGAGGACGGTGTGGCATTGTTGGCAGATACTTTGTGGTCAGCTGGAGAATTTGTTTTTGTTTTACTTGGGGTAGACAATCGTGGAAGATCATTGTCAAACTCTACCTCATCCAACAGACTGACACTAGTGTCTACATTATTACCAGGACTGGGACAGATAAATGTTGCCTCACGAATTTTCATTGAAGAACCCCTTTTTTTCTTTGATGAATCAACATCTGTCAGAAGACAATCAGTGTCTAGCCTGCGAGTGGGGGGAAATTGCTGGGTGATCTGCACCTCCTGACTTTCTGCACTTAGAAGAGCACTGACAAGGTCACCATCATCTACAACAGAAAATAGATGTTAAAACTGCTGAAAGTGATTACTTCCCTTTATTTTCAAATTTTGAAGATATCCCTAATAATCGCCCATCCTCCTTGTAGCATATAATGTAGGTCTCTCTTACCTTTAATCAATGTATCCCTGAAATGGTTCTTCTCTCTTTATTCCTTTGTAAAGCTAGGGATGCTTGGAAGCTAAGATGACCCTTCCTAGTCTAGATATTAGAATAGTGTCAGTGGTACTGAGGAAATTTATCAGATGGTTATGGGGTTTGCACGTAGATTTGCATTTGTACTTGCATAAGAAAAGTGCAATGTATTTGAAACAAGAGGCCCATGGGCCTTAACGGTCACCCGATACATTTATACAGAGAGTTGATTTTTGTTTTTAACATGAACAGAAATATTATTCAAAGTGACAAAAAACAATAAAACCACCTTATTCAATATCTAGCATGCAGATTTAAGACTGAAAAGTATTTGAAACTAGCACCTCTGATTCTAAACAAGGAAAATGAAGAAATTTTATTTTAGCACACAGACTCCATTGGGCCCCACCCTACAGCCCTTGGGGGTAGGGCTGGCTCAAAATTTACAAAGTATCAAACTGTCAACTTAGGGTTATAATTCCAATCAAGTTATCAACATGTAATATTCAAAGTATCATTTGCCATTATAAACCATAACAAATTTTGCCCCCCCCCCTCCTTCCCCAGGGGTTAACGCCAGACCCCAGGGTCATGAAATTCACAATTTTGGTAAAGCACCTTAAGACCCTTCCATCTATGAAGAGTATTTGATTCTACCATATCTGGGTCTTGAGAAGAAGATTTTTGAAATTTCAGTCAATTCAACCCTTTTTGGCCCCACCCATCAGCCCCTGGGGGTCAGTCAGGGCTGACATGTGCATACCATCAAACTGCTATCCAATACTGATAATGCTAACCCAAATTGAATTACTTCCAATGGCAATTAAACAAATGTTGGTCCAAAATGTGATTTCCCTATATAAACTATAATAAAGTTTACCCCCTCCCCAGGGGGTAACGTGAGACCCCAGGGTCAAGAAATTTATGATTATATCCATGCAAGTCTAACCTTATATTTGGTTGAATTCAAAGGACTTTATCGGTACTCAAATGAAGCCGAGCATACAGTGTACCAGCTTCCTTGTGGAACCATTTCAAAGTGTAGCCACTGATTCTCACATACATGTACAGTGTAAGTCCAAAATAAATAATGAAAAGCATCCAATAGAACTTACTGCAGTTTATCTGGATAGTGTGTCAACCCATAAAATGTCATAACTAGTTCTGTCTGACAGTTTTAAAATGGCACCACTATATTGTTAGTTAAGAATAAAGGTGCTATGAAATAGACCATACATAAATATTTATTTATAAGGTTATAATTAGACAGCCATAGATATGCTAACAATACGTTTTTCTTGAGATACCATGTGTTTTTAGTGTGCAAGCATGGTTAAAATTCTGTGTACAAGGCCACCAACACGATTACTTTGCTGAGCAACACCAGTGGAGATATAGGAAATTCTAAAACTGTACACACTTTATAACTAGCTTTCATTTGGCCAAAATTTGACATAGTTTTGACTATCAGATAGACTTACCATCAGAGTCAACGACCACTGGATCTCGTCTCCAGCTATCCGAGGAGTCTGCAGTAGATACAGCCAGATGTCGTGTATAGGTACGCAATTCCAGCAAATCGTCAATACACAACTGAAGGTTGGAGAGGTTACTTGGGTCACGGACACAAATGTCTAGTATATCCTCACTCAGATTGGCAAAGATGGGCATCAGTTGCTGCTTTAAGGAGTTTTCCAACAGAGAGAGTTGAGGACTCGCCATGTCTCATCTAAAAACTATTCAAACAAAAACTGCAGTAAAATTCTATAATTCTAAATGCATTTCCATTATAAATTTCAAGCAGTTACTTCCATTTGCCTTTTGGGCTGAACAATCCAGATGTATGAGACTTGATTTTCCAACACAAACCTCAACCTTGCCTTTTGTTTTATTCAAAATGAGAATCCCTCACTTTCACAAATCACTACCACTTTTAAATGTCCCAAACTAGACCATCTATGTATACGCGTACGTAGCTCAGTTGGTTAGAGCGCAATAGCGTAAGCCATCTGTCTCCAGTTTGGAGATCTTGGTTCTAATCCCAGTCTGAATGTGCACTTTCTCCTGTCCCGATAACATACAGTGGTGCCTGCAACCAACCATACAGCTAGCTTGTTACAGATATAGGTTACAATAATAAAGTACACCTAACAAGGGGATACCTGCATGAACCTGTGTTGTAAATATTATTGACTTTGGGGGTGAAAACTTACAAAAAGGAGGGGGATGCAGCTGAACTAGACTGGGTTGATGATCACTGCGCAGGGATAACAACTAACCCTATCAGATATCTCTCTTTTTTATCCGCCGCCGCTGGGGATCGAACTGAAATTCTTGGCAGAGTGAGTGTTCTGAAGCTCCACTTGATTTCAAACAGTAGTATGACTGTGCGCGTTAGTGATCACGGCTAACGAGTCACCCAAACAACATTTCTGCTTGCAACTTGGTAGTTATAAAGTACCCATCTCATTTTACCCATTTTGGTGAATGTTTCTCTACATATTTTTTTTATGAAGCAATTCCCAAAACTAGGCCTAGTAGTGTAAACAGTAATTTATATAACTGTTATATATAACAGTTTAACTGTTATATAACTGTTATATAACTGTTACGTTCAGGATTATCACCAATATATATTGAAGCCTACATGTATTTCATTTCATATGAAATTTTTGTATATAATTTGGTCGAAGAGAAATGCTTTACTTTCCGATGAATATGATATAAACTTACCTCCGACCTGTTTATAGCATCGCAAATAATGAAATAGGGCTGTAAATTATAGCAACGAACCTTGCTTTCGAAGTTTTCTCTCAAAAAAATAGCAATTCGTCGATACGACGAATTATTGATTAAGAAGTAAGATTTTAAAACGGAAGCCGAAATTCGAAAGTCTACTTTCAGTTCCCGACACTTGATTGACATTTAAGTAGCACACAGTGTTTATCTAGTTACTAATGATGACTGACAGATTTACTGGGACATATAGGAATAAGCAGCATATTGCCATAGCGAAAATGTGAATTCGATCAATTTTGATCACATATTTACCTTGAATAGAGTACTCATGAGCTATGTATCCGAATTCATCATCCAACTAAATCAAACTGGTTCTGGCGCGATGCCTCGTTTTCAAACATAAGAAAACGAGAGTTGTCTCCCATTGAAGAGCGTAGATACTGATGCTGTTAAGGCGGGAAATCTACAATGTTTTTAGGTGTAAAACATATCTATTTTCAAACACAAGTACAAGTGGTATAAAACATATTTTAAGGATTTGTGTGCCCCTTCCAAAAACGGTTTGATTAGACAGGGACGCCGTATAAAGCGTGTGTTCTGTCAGAGACCTTTAATAGGATAGGAAAGGTTATGGACACTGGGTGCCTCTATATCCATATCTTATAACAATGGACGTATAATATTATTTAGACCTAGATGTATATAAATATAATTATAATTACTTTATGTATGTTTTCAGTACCGCTATGTACATTGTACAATTATATGTTATACCACGGACTTAGATAACTAATCTAATTCCGTGGTTATACCAATATTAGGCCTACATTTTCATTTACAGCAATATTGCGAAGGGTTGTCTAACTGTCTAACAGCATCTACTTGCAAGGTGAACTAATCTGGCGTGGCTTCCAGATCGTTCGTCGGGGGGGNGCCCCATACATGTCGGTTCTTCATGTATACTACTTTCTGCCACCAAATATATATAGAACTTCTTTTTTGCTGAGATTGGGAGGATTATACTTTCACCGCCGAACGGAGTGAGGCTAATTTTTTTCTTTTCTGAAGATGTAATACTAAACTATTTCAAGCACTGTCGAGCGTATAAGCAAGAATGTATTGGACATTATTTCTATTGACAAACGGATCGAGTGAGGCGTAAAATAGTTTTCTGAGTTTGTAAGAAAAGTGGTAAAAATGTAGATTTTCAGTTAAAATATTGATGTTTTTGTCAGGCCCTTAAAATGGCCACTTGTCAAAGTTTTGGGGAGGGGGGCTTTAGGCAAGCATGTTCGCAATTTAATATTAATTCATTTTGTCGTAAATATGAATTATGATTTAACTGTTTGTCTTTTATTGTGAAATAGTATGCATACATATGCACAATGGCAACACCTAATGAAAAGGATGTATACACGCCAGGCTTTTATGCTAACATTGGTTATTAGTCACCTGATGAAGTGATGCTATAAGGAGGATGCTTCATTGTCTTTAAAAAAATTGAAATATATATTTTTTAATTATTATATTTAATCACTCCTCGTGACCAAGTGTGCTTGAAACCACTAGTAAAAATACAGGTATATCTATCATGAAATGGATCTACCTTTGAAATAACATTTTACCTATATACCTATCTCCCGGGGGACGCAACTACTTTTTGTATAAGGTATTTATAAATGTTCAGTGTAGAGATGTGGTTAATGCGGTTGGGGTGGGGCACAGAGGAGGAGACCCCCAGACCTCCTGGGATCTCAGTATATACCAATTAATGGGCGGATCAGTAGTAATCCACCCTGGTACAGCCTCCCTGGGTATCCTGGGACCATAATTTAATGTGTGATTTAATTGTGCTTGCATTGTGTATAATGATATTCAGAAGCAAGCCCTGCCAGCGTGAAGCTGGTGTCGCACTATAAACGACGTGGTACTATACTGACTGAAACCGTTATCTGTGGGGTTTTTTTGGTTATAATATGTATAATTTGATAGTACTAGCGGTGAGGGTGGGGCACAGAGGAGGAGATCCCAGACCTCCTAGGCTAGAGATACAGGTTACAGATAAAGGTTACAGATAAAGGTTACAGATACAGATACAGGATACAGATACATCTTACAGATGCAGGCTACAAATATAGGTTTCAGATACATGTAACAGATACAGGTTACATATATAGGTTACAGATACAGGATACAGATACAGATTATAGATACAGGTTACAGATACAGGCTACAGATATAGGTTTCAGATGCAGGCTACAGATAAAGGTTTCAGATGCAGGCTACAGATATAGGTTACAGATACAGGCTACAGATACAGATGACATATATAAGTTACAGATACAGGTTATAGATACAGGTTACAGATACAGGTTTCAGATACAGGCTACAGATACAGGTTACAGATAAAGGCTACAGATACAGATTACATATATAAGTTACAGATACAGGTTACAGATACAGGTTTCAGATGCAGGTTACAGATACAGGTTTCAGATGCAGGCTACAGATACATGTTACAGATATAGGTTACAAAAACCGATTACTGATACAGGTTACAGATACAGGTTACTGATACAGGTTACAGATACAGGTTACAGATACAGGTTACAGATACAGGTTACAGATACAGGTTACAGATACAGGTTACAGATACAGGTTACAGATACCGGTTACAGATACAGGTAACAGATACAGGTTTCAGATGCAGGTTTCAGATACAGGTTACATATATAAGTTAAAGATATAGATTACAGATACAGGTTACATATACAGGTTACAGATACAGGCTACAGATACAGATTACATATATAGGTTACAGATACATGTTACAGATATAGGTTACAGATACCGATTACTGATACAGGTTACAGATACAGGTTACAGATACAGGTTACAGATACAGGTTACAGATACAGATTACATACATAAGTTACAGATACAGGTAACAGATACAGGTTACAGATACAGGTTACAGATATAGGTCACAGATACAGGTTACAGATACATGTTACAGATATAGGTTACAGATCCATGTATCAGATACATGTTACAGATACAGGCCACAGATACAGATTACAGATACAGGTTACAGATGCAGGCTACAGATATAGGTTACAGATACAGGTTACAGATACATGTTACAGATATATGTTACAGATACAGGTTACAGATATTGGTTACATATATTAGTTACAGATACAGGTTACAGATACAGGTTACAGATGCAGGCTACAGATACAGGTTACAGATACAGGTTACAGATGCAGGTAACAGATATAGGTTACAGATACAGGTTACAGATACAGGTTACAGATACAGGCTACAGATACAGATTACATATATAAGTTACAGATATAGGTCACAGGTACAGGTTACAGATACATGTTACAGATATAGGTTACAGATACCGATTACTGATACAGGTTACAGATACAGGTTACAGATACAGGCTACAGATACAGATTACATACATAAGTTACAGATACAGGTAACAGATACAGGTTACAGATACAGGTTACATATACAGGTTACAGATACAGGTTACAGATATAGGTTTCAGATACAGGTTACATATACATGTTACAGATAAAGGTTACAGATACAGGTTACAGATATAGGTCACAGATACAGGTTACAGATACATGTTACAGATACAGGTTACAGATGCAGGCTACAGATATAGGTTACAGATACAGGTTACAGATACATGTTACAGATATATGTTACAGATACAGGTTACAGATATCGGTTACATATATTAGTTACAGATACAGGTTACAGATACAGGTTACAGATTTAGGTAACAGATACAGGTTACAGATACAGGTTACATATACAGGTTACAGATACAGGTTACAGATATAGGTCACAGATACAGGTTACAGATATAGGTCACAGATACAGGTTACAGATATAGGTCACAGATACAGGTTACAGATATAGGTCACAGATACAGGTTACAGATACATGTTACAGATATATGTTACAGATACAGGTTACAGATATAGGTTACATATATAAGTTACAGATACAGGTTATAGATACAGGTTATAGATACAGGTTACAGATACAGGTTACAGATACAGGCTACAGATACAGATTACATACATAAGTTACAGATACAGGTAACAGATACAGGTTACAGATACAGGTTACAGATTTAGGTCACATATACAGGCTACAGATATACAGGTTACAGATAAAGGATACAGATACAGGTTACATACATAGGTCACAGATACAGGTTACAGATATAGGTCCCAGATACAGGCTATAGATAAATGTAACAGATACAGGTAACAGATACAGGTTACAGATACAGGTTACATATACAGGTTACAGATACAGGTTACAGATATAGGTTACATATATAAGTTACAGATACAGGTTACAGATTCAGGGTTCAGATGAAGGCTATAGATACAGGTTTCAGATACCGATTACTGATATAGATTACAGATACAGGTTACAGATACAGGTTACAGATGCAGGCTACAGATATAGGTTACAGATACAGGTTACAGATACAGGTTACAGATACAGGTTACAGATTTAGGTCACATATACAGGCTACAGATATACAGGTTACAGATAAAGGTTACAGATACAGGTTACATACATAGGTCACAGATACAGGTTACAGATATAGGTCCCAGATACAGGCTATAGATAAATGTAACAGATACAGGTAACAGATACAGGTTACAGATACAGGTTACATATACAGGTTACAGATACAGGTTACAGATATAGGTTTCAGATACAGGTTACATATACATGTTACAGATAAAGGTTACAGATACAGGTTACAGATATAGGTCACAGATACAGGTTACAGATATAGGTCACAGATATACAGGCTACAGATAAATGTAACAGATACAGGTAACAGATACAGGTTACAGATTCATGTTACATATACAGATTACAGATACAGGTTACAGATACAGGTTACAGATACAGGCTACAGATACATGTTACATTTATAGGTTACAGAGACGGGTTTACAGATACAGGTCACATATACAGGTTACAGATACATGTTACAGATAAAGGTTACAGATACAGGTTACAGATATAGGTCACAGGTATACAGGCTACAGATAAATGTAACAGATACAGGTAACATATACAGGCTACAGATAAAGGTTTCAGATACAGGTTACAGGTTACAGGTTACAGATACAGGTTACAGATATAGGTCACAGAAACAGGTTACAGATACATGTTACAGATATAGGTTACAGAGACGGGTTTACAGATATAGGTCACATATACAGGTTACAGATACATGTTACAGATATAGGTTACAGATCCATGTAACAGATACATGTTACAGATACAGGTTACAGATACAGGCTACAGATACAGGTTACAAATACAGGTTACAGATA